GAATCGATATTATTTATTAATAATCATATTAATAATAAATATACAAAATGTGTCAACTTGATAAAAGTGTGACTCTATAGGATTATATATTATTAGCAATATCACTCCATAATGATTCTTGGGCATATAGATTCTACAGTTATGTGTTGGTATGCTTACCGGGCGAGGCCCGATGCCTAGCGGGGCTCGATGACTATATTGTATAATATTGTCTTTTTGATTATCGCATGTGTTCGTATTATTATATGTTTATATGTGTACTAGGCGGGGCCTAATGACTGACATATATGTATACCGAGTTGGGCTCGATGCCGTGTGGGGCCCGATTCCGTGTGGGACCAGATGTCGGGTGAGTCCCGATGAAGGGCGGGGGCCCAGTATGTGTTTATTATGTATGACATATGGTAGTTTGGGGAACTCACTAAGCTTTCTGCTTACGGTTTTCAGTTTATGTTTCAGGTACTTCTGGTTCGAAAGGGAAGGGCTTGGGATGATTGAAAAGCACACACCACATTATTGTGTATTTTGTGATATACTCTGATGTTTTGTGATGTATTGATACACTTTGTTCCATTTTGGTTTCGTGATGATGTTTTGGATTACAGTTTTATTAATTTAAAAATGAAATTTTTGGTCTTAATTTTTGGGACGTTACAATTGGTGTCTTAGGCTCAAGGGAGCGGTTGGCCAGCTCGCTTGTCATCTCCCTCGCTAAGCCCTCGCCACCATTCGTTACCCATGCGCTAAGCTCCTGCGCCAAGGTTGGCTCGCCTGCTGCTTGGCGAGATAAAAGAGAAGAGTGAGAGTAACACAAGTGGTCCTCATTTGACCATTTAACTATTTCAGTTTCATATGCTTGTAGCTCCAACTTTAGCAACGTGTGCCCTTTTAAAGTTTATTTTATTTAAACAGTTAAATAAATATTTATTTGATTTAAGAAAAAAAGTGTTTACCTTTTAAACACATCACCACTCCATATCATCATATTATGTTTAGCTGTCAATAAAAATATGACGTGACAATAATTTAGCACATGCTACCTCTCCCTATAGCCTTAGTTGACGCCAAAAAGTAGGAAGAAATGAATTAATTAAAACTTATGTTTTATAATAAATAGTACATCCAAGTTTAAACTAGTAAGTTCAAAATTATACCCTTAATCAAAATCAAACATAAAAGAAATATATGTAATCAGATCAAGTGCAGTGCAAACATTTATCTAGGAATGATCTCAGATATTGAAACATCATTTAGTGAAACTTGAGATGATCTTGATTTTGATTTTGATATTTTTGGTTTCCCAAAACCACTGCTCCCTGAATTTGAAGAACTAAATTCACTAAGATGCGGCATTTCAGGATCAATGGTACTGCGCATGAAAAATGCAGGTTCTGATGGTACGGGGAGCGTGATAGAGAAGCTATTAAGCATAAGAACAACAGAAGCCATGGTTGGCCTGTCAATAACATTTTCTTGGACACATAATAACCCAATGTGGATACTTCTAATAACGTCACGCAATGAACCTGATCCCGTTTTCAATGTGGGATCAATCATATCTGTCACCGTCCCATTTCGCCAACTTTTCCATGCCTGAAACAGGTCCAAAATTTTCTTAACAATATGATATTTGTCACTAGTCAATTCTAAAAATAAAGATGTAAGTAATAAATACTTTCTGCAATTAACAAGTCTTAAAAAATAATTGCAAAATATGTTTTTTTTTCTCTTTTTTAATGGAACTATACTTATTAAATATTTTAATTTTTAATTATGTAGTGATTTCTTGCCCGTTGTGTCGATGCTGAAAGATAATATGATTGCATTGACATACATATATATTTCGTTATATAGTTGGTGAAAAAGGTGGATACTTACAAAGCTTAGAAGGTCTTCGACGCTATCTCCATTCCTAAAGCATTGGTTTTTTTGACCTGTTACCATCTCTAGTACTAACACTCCAAAACTAAACACATCTGATTTCACTGAGAATTGCCCATGCATGGCATATTCGGGTGCCATATAACCACTATAAGAGAGCAATGAATGTGAAAAAATTAAGTACGCACGCACACACACACACACACACACATATATATATATATATA